TTGTAGAGATGAGGTCTCGCCAAGTTGCCCAGGCGGATCTCGAACCCGCGGGCTCAGGCAATCCATTCACCTTGGCCTCCCAAAGGCGCGGGATTACAGGCTGAGCCATTGAGCCTGGCTCACTCCGCCTTTCTAATCCTATTTTCTCACCTGTCGACTGAGGATTGGTTATGAGTGCATGGCCCACGGGGCACTGCTGAGATTAAGTGGGATGTGAGCCTGGCACTGTCCCTGGCTTTGGGCAGCACTGGTCAGTGACTGTCATCAGGCCTGTCTGCCATCAGCTCCCAGCAGGGGGCCTTGTCCATTTCTCTCCATCTCTTCTTGTGGGTGTCCCACATAGAAGGTGCCCAACAAACGGGTATTGAATGAATTGTCGGACCTGTTGATAGGGGTGGGTTATACATCTGTAATCTCAAAACTTGGGGAGGGCATGATAGGAGGATCACTTGAGACCAGGAGTTCAAAACCAGCCTGGGACCATGACTGTAGTCACAGCTGCTCAGGAGGTTGATGCAGGAGGAACACTTGTAGCCTAGGAGTTTGAGGCTGCAGTGAACTATGATTGCACCATTGCACTCCAGCCTGGGTGACAGATCGAGACCCTATCTCTAAATTTAAAAAAAAAAGGAATTTCAGTCAGGCATGGTGGCTCACGCCTATAATCCCATCGCTTTGGGAGGCCAAGGCGAGAGAATTGCCTGAGCCCATGGGTTCAAGACCAGCCTGGCAACATGATGAGACCTCATCTCTACAATAAAGAAATAAAAAAATTAGCTGAGTGTGATAGCACGGGCCTGTAGTTCCGGCTACTTAGAAGGCTGAGGTAAAAGGATCGCCTGAGCCCAGCAGGTCAAAGCTGCGGTGGCTGGGAGTGTTCCACTGCACTCCAGTCTGGGCGACAGAGTGAGACTCCAACTCAAAAAAATAAAATAAAATAAAGGAATCTCATTTTTTTTCCTATGGTTAAATGATATTTCTTCGTATAGGTAAGGCTACAGGTTGTTTATCCATTTGGGTAGGCTTCTTCTTAAAAAAAAAAAACTTGCCAGGCTCAGTGGCTCAGCCTGTAATCCTGCACCTTTGGGAGGCTGAGGTGAGTGGATTGCCTGAGCCCGGGGGTTCGAGACCCGCCTGGGCAGCGAGACCTCATCTCTACAATAAATCAAAAAATCAGCTGGGCGTGGTAGCACATGCCTGTAATTCCAGTTACTTGGAAGGCTGAGGTGGAAGGATTGCTGGAGCCCAGCAGGTTGAGGCTGCGGTGGCCGGGAGTGGCCACTGCACTTCAGTCTGGGCAACAGAGTGAGACTCCAACTAAAAAAAAACCCAAAAAGCAAAAAACAAAAAAAACAAAAA